ATCTTAGAATTAAAAATTCCATTGTTATACTTTTGTTTTCCAAGTATATTTTTTTAATGAGGTCTTTGAAGTAGGTCATGGGAATTCTAGACACAGTGCTTTTAGTGAGAAGTGGTTATTGATGAGTTCAAGAAGTCACTTGTCTCTGATTCTGATGGTCAGAATAGGTGGTCCAGTTGTACAAATTAGCAGAACCTAAAATGGGGTCAGGGCTAGAGGGCCCTCAAAGGCAGGATTTGGATCCTGCATCTGGTACAATGGTGTTTGTGCCTTCTTGGTGTTTGTGTCTCCAGGACCAGGTGCAGCGTTTGTTACATCGTAGGTGTCCAGTAACGTTTCTTGGACGACTTAAGGAGAGACGAAGTAAGCAAACTAAATCTCTGGTTCTCCAGGCTTTCCGTGGGCAGAGAAGAGTACTTTCACGTGGAGACAGGCATTTGCTTTTTCTGAAGTGGTATCTTCCAAACTTGATGGTTGGGTGGCTACTTTTGTGAGTCTAAAAAAACTAACCAACCAACCAAACAAAAACCAAAAAATCCTTTTAAATGTTTCTACTTTCTTTTGGTAGTCACCAAATAGCATTTCCCCATGTATGAAAGGGCATCCTTTCAATTGCAGTGGGTGACTTGGGCATGAGTCCCTGCACCCCCTAATTCCTCAGAGCTCTATGTGATTCAGGGTTGCTGACCCATTTCTCCTGATCACTACTGAGGCCAGTCAGCCAGCTGATTTAGCATACCACATGTTTTGGTCATATCTGTGGCAAAGCCCACTTCCAAGTGTCTTGCCTTAGTGGAGTTATGTGTTGTATGGTGTTTCCACCAAGAAAAAAATTAATGGATAAGTTTGCTTGCTGAAATTTTAGATTATTTCCATCTAACAAAGGCCCACACCTGCCTATTGTTAGAATCTCAGCCTGACCTGTGACTAAGTGGTGGGAGATGCTAACATTAAGGGATGGAGTATGTGGCACTTGAGAGAGAGCCCTTCTGACAACCACCTGTTGCAAAACTATTTTGTGCATGTGGTCAACTAGTGGGAACAGGCATTCCAGTACATAAGATGTGTATGTCAGTACTGTCAAGAGATCACACATAGGCATGAAATATGTATATTTTAAGGAAGAAGCAACAGTTGGGAATGCATAAAAGACATAGCCAGGGCACTCTCCAGAAGCCTATAATTATACTAGGAACAAAATCTTTCTTTAGGAAGCTCAGTGCTGCTCATTTTTAGAGAGGTCAAACTGCATCTGAAGACATGTTTCTGAGATTTGAACACCGAGATCTCTTTAGTAGGCATCGGCCATAAAACATCTTTATGTTGAACACATCTTTCCCAGAGACATCCGAAAAGAACATGACTTGCCTCGTAGGTCTAAAAAGGACACTCTGTTCCTCTTCTTAAAACCTCCTGTGGTGGCGTTCTACTTTGGTTTTGAATTATAGCAAGATGGGTATTTTTGTTCCTGTGCCAAGAAGACTACGTGCCACGCGTCTTTTACATAGCAGCTACATTTTACAAAAGAAGTATTTTGTACCTGATTTTTCCTGTAGCATTTTAAAAATTTGCACTGGACTTTACAACATTAATATCTTCCGTCCTCAAGGCACCATTCTGAGTTGGTGGGAGGAAAAACATTAACCTAATTTAAGCCTGGGGAGAGGTCAAGCAACACGTCCAGAATCACACGGGGGACTCAGAATACCTGTCAGGGCGGTTTCTGAATCAGTCAGAAGGTTGACTATTGAAGCAGCAGGGAGATATTTATTCATTTTGGACGTCTCTGCTGCCGTGTTTCTCAATGGTTGATATCTAAATTTAAGGGGAAAATCCCTTAGTTTTCACGAACCTACCGCAAGTCAACAAAGTGAAAATAAAAGCTTGCAGAAAATTCCCCTCAGGATAAATCTATAGCTGGTTATTATATTCGGGAGGTGTCTCCTGCTTTCAAAGTTGATCTCATGGAGTGGGTCTGTCCTCATGACCACCCCGCCCTGCCCCAGAAGGGGCAAGACTAATATCAAGGCCACCAGACATTTGAAAGTGTCCTTATATCTGGGTGGAAACTGACTTTCCAAATATCTGGGTAGCCACTTTGTCAGTCTTTACACAGATGCTTGTATTGTAGAAAAATATTAGAGAATGAAGGGAATACAACAGGCAATTTAATGACCATCTTCCACACTCCAGCAGTTTCGAATCCCACCTTTAGCCCAGTGTAAACAACTCATGGCAATCACTGCTTCTAGATTAAAAGTTTCCCCTTTTTATGTTCAGCTGTGGTTGAAACTTGTATTTTCTTTGAATCAAAACAATAATTTTGAAGTTGGAATCTCCTCAGGTTTTCTACTCCTGTTGGGACATAAAAATTCTCTTTGCCCCTTTGCATGTGAAGCAATCCTAGCGCCCTTAATTATCCTGATTTTTTCCTCGCTCCCTCTCCAGCCGGCTGGATGACTCTTCTCTGAGCCTGCTGGTAGATTACTGATTATGTTCTCAGGGTAGTTCAGAAATCTGCCCTCACCAGTAGCCCTCACTTTCCAAAACAAAAACAAAACTACTTAATCACATTCTTCAGACTAACAGGAGGAGGGACTCACTTTCCCTATTCAGCATGTGTCATTTATATTTTAATATATGGGTGTATGGTGTCATGTGTAGGTTTCTCTAGCCCCTTTATAGAGCAAATTAATTTCTAAGCTAGTCTTAGCCAGGCATGGTGGCAGGCGCCTGTAGTCCCATCTACTCAGGAGGCTGAAGCAGGAGGATAGCTTGAGCCCAGGAGTTTGAGGTTGCAGTGAGGTATGATGATGCCACTGCACTCCAGCCTGGGGGACAGAGTAAGACCCTGTCTCAAAAAAAAAAAAAAAAAAATCTAAGATAGTCAAAAGTTTAGTAATCATAAATTGACTAATAAAATCTTAGGCACCTAATATGGTAATGAAATGAAAACATGTCTTCCCAGAAGACTGGCTACCACAAGGATTAGAGAAGCAAATTGCTAGCTAGCACTCTTGGCAACACGGTGATTTCTTGTTGCTGAGGTATGAGGGCTTCCTCTAACTGATGATAATCACAAGTGCTGCTCCTACTGGAACTAAAAAGAGACCTTAAGAAGAAGGCAAACTTTCTTTACAAGTTGAAGGTAAAAAAAAAAAAAAAAGCTGGAAATAGTTTCTCAAGTGCTGCTCCTACTGGAACTAAAAAGAGACCTTAAGAAGAAGGCAAACTTTCTTTACAAGTTGAAGGTAAAAAAAAAAAAAAGCTGGAAATAGTTTCTAAAGATTTGAGATGTGAAAAATTAAAGACACTGGCTTCAGTTACTAAAAGGCATGAGCTTGGGCTTTTTGGTCCCTTAATTAAAGTTCTTGTTCAAAAGAATGTGTTCAAACAACCTTTAGCAGCTCAATTTCTAAAATAATTTCATAAAATGAGGAGAGTGAACAAACCTACATGTATATGTACTCTATGAGAGAACTCTTAACTCTACTAAAGCAGGGACGTACAGCCGTCCAAGCCAGGTTGTCAAAGATCTTACTGGAGAAGCATGGGGGAGGGGATGGAGAATATGGAATGGTCTGGAAGGATCAGAGCTTAAGCATGATAAAAGAGGCAGCACTTTAGAGCAGCCCAGCAAAAACTAGAGTTGGCAAAGCTACTTTTTTTGTCTGTGAAATCTGCATTTGGTTCATTCCCTTTACCAATGCCTCCTGGGTTCCTCCAAGGCACCTCACCTCTGTAGTCTCCCCTTTCAACCTAATAGGAAAACGCCTCAGTTGTGGTGTGCATTCCAGGTATTTCAATCTCTAAATGTCAGTTCAATGGGAAACATCAGTTAAAACAAAAATGATTTCCCACAAGTTCTATTCGACCAGCTACTGTGGCTTATATACGCTCAGGTTCGAATTTGTCACCCTTACCCCTCTTCCCCTCTCCAGCCACCAAAAAACAAACAAACAAAAAAGAGAATAGTAAGGAATGGGAATGGAGCTTGTAATTTCTTTTCTTGCAGGTTCTCTCTAAGTAAACCTTGGGTTCTGGTAGGACTGTTTGTCAATATCCTGATGTCTGAATTCTTAGTTGTTTTTTTGAGAAAGTCTTACTCTGTTTCCGAGGGTGGAGTGCAGTGGCCTCATCATAGCTCACTGCAACCTCCAACTCTTGGGCTCAGGCAATCCTCCTGCCTCAGCCTCTTGAGTAGCTGGGACAACAGGCGCATGCCACCATGACTGACTAATTTTTCTATTTTTCGTAGAGATGGGTCACACTCTTGCTCAGGCTGGTCTCCAACTCTTTGACCTAAAGTTATCTGTCCACCTAGGCCTCCCAGAGTGCTGGGATTACAGGTGTGAGCCATCATGCCCAGCCCAGATGTCCAAATTTTTATCCTATCAGAATAGCCAAATTATGGTTTTAAAACTGCAACTGGTCTGATAGATAGTCCCATCCATTTATGGCCACTTTCAAGGGTTACATATGTACAGATTCAAATTAAGTCCTGATGTGGCAGTTTGAACTTGTCCTCAGCACAGCAACTTGCCCACTGGTTAGAGTGACCAGCCATGATCCAACATATTGTTATCCTATCTGCCTGTTCACCTGTTGCCTGACTGAAGACTGATTTATGTACAAATCAAATCGCTCATTTTGCATTTCACAGCACAAAGTGAGATCCCTGGTGTTTGAATTTTTTTTCCTGAAGAATTTCCATTAATCTAGTTCATGTTCTCAACAGGAAGTAATTCAGACATGGGAAATGTATGCAACTGAGAGCCAAAGATGATAATGGATAGAAGTCAAATATACAAATATACCCATGCAAAAGGATAAAAATAATATATTTTGGGGAATTTTCACAAAAAGTTGCCACTTTGGAGTAGAAATTAAAATGATAGTTCTTTAACTGAATTTTCAAATATAACCCACTTTGTAGAATATTTGATATACTGAAACTCTCTATAATTTTTATTATAAAATTGGATCTGTATTTTTTCTAGAACAAGAATTAGAGCTAGGAAAATACAAAGAACTCAAAAGGAATGCAGCAAAACCTCAAAAATCCCATAGTTAAAGGTAAGATTATCTTTTACTTTATAAATTATTAATGGTACTACTTAAAATAAGTTATGGAATATGAATACAAAGTAGTCACTTATTTTTGCATTTTGCATAATAGCTTAAAATGAAAGCCAATATTAGAACAACAAAAAATGGGACAGGAGAGCCTCTTGGCTTCAACAAGCTTTCTCCACAATATTCTGTAAAAAGAATATATAATACAAGTGACATTTTTAGAAGTTAGCCTCTAGTCATATGCATAAATCCTAGCACTCTGGGAGGCTGGGGCTGGAGGATTGCTTGAGGCCAGGAGTTTGAGACCAGTCTGAGCAAGAGTGAGACCATATCTCTACAAAAAATAGAAAAATTAGTCAGTCATGGTGGCATGTGCCTATAGTCCCAGCTATTCAGGAGGCTGAGGCAGAAGAATCAATCACTTGAGCCCAGGAGTTGGAGGCTGCAGTGGGCTGTGATGATGCCACTGAACTCTAGCTAGGGCAACAGAGCGAGACTCTGTCTCAAAAAAAAAAAAAAGGCCAAATTAGGTTTTACAAACTGATCCATGTGGCTTCTGAAATGATAACCATTCAGTTTGTTGAAGAATTTGCAGCTTGGCTTCCAATGTTAAATTCTGTAACTCTAAAGTATTATAATCGGCCTAGCATGGTGGCTCATGCCTGTAATCCTAGCACTCTGGGAGGCTGAGGTGGGAGGATTGCTGAAGGTCAGGAGTTCGAAACCAGCCTGAGTGAGACCCTGTTTCTACTAAAAATAGAAAGAAATTAATTGACCAACTAAAAATATATATACAAAAAATTAGGCCAGGTGTGGTGGCTCACGCCTGTAATCCTAGCACTCTGGGAGGCCGAGGTGGGCGGATTGCTTGAGGTCAGGAGTTCGAAACCAGCCTGAGCAACAGCAAGACCCCGTTTCTACTATAAATAGAAAGAAATTAATTGGCCAACTAATATATATACAAAAAATTAGCCAGGCATGGTGGCACATGCCTATAGTCCCAGCTACTTGGGAGGCTGAAGCAGGAGGATTGCTTGAGCCCAGGAGTTTGAGGTTGCTATGAGCTAGGCTGACTCCATGGCACTCACTCTAGCCTGGGCAACAAAGTGAGACTCTGTCTCAAAAAAAAAAAAGAAACTACAAAAAATTAGCCGGGTGTGGTGGCGCATGCCTGTAGTCCCAGCTACTCGAGAGGCTGAGGCAGTAGGATCACTTTAAGCCCAGGAGATTAAGGTTGCTGTGAGCTAGGCTGACGCCACAGCACTCACTCTAGCCTGGACAACAAAGTGAGACTCTGTCTCAAAATAAATAAAGTATTACAATCTTTAGGCCAGGTACGGTGGCTCCCACCTGTAATCCCAGCACTTTGGGAGGCCGAGGTGGGAGTATCGCTCGAGGTCCAGCAAGAGTGAGACCCTGTCTCTACTAAAAATAGAAAGAAATTAGCCAGACAACTAAAAATATACAGAAAAAATTAACTAGGCATGGTGGTGCATGCCTGTTGTCCTAGCTACTGGGGAGGCTGAGGCACTGAGGCAGGATTGCTTGAGCCTAGGAGTTTGAGGTTGCTGTGAGCCAGGCTGATGCCATGGCACTCTAGCCCAGGCAACAAACCAAGACTCTGTCTCTAAAAAAAAAAAAAAAAAAAAAAAAAATTAGCCCTTATGGAAGCTTCTGGTTTTGAAAATGAGTAGCTGATCTTGGTGCAAGCCTGAAAGAAACACAGATGCTTTGAATCAAAATGCAGTAGGATAAATTAAGAGTCCTTGGGCTTAGAAAAGAACTCTTACAGATAAAATCACCACCCGAGTAGGGGCTGTAGAGACCAGTGTTAAAAAAGAGGTTCATCTGGCAGGAAAACAGCACAGGACTCAGAGAGCAAACAAGACCACAGCAGAGGCCATGGTACAGATAACAACAAACAGACAAGAATTCAAAATAGTTTGTCAATATGGCCTACCTTCCCCAACTAAAAGCTCTGTGTGGGCAGAGATTTTAATTTTGTCCACTACCATATCCTCAGCTTCTGGAACAGTGGCTGGCTTCTAGAAGGTGCTCCATAAATATCTGATGACTGAATGAACAGAAGCTAAGTTTCAGAAGACAGACTTGTCCAAGGAAACAAAATTCTACAAATATGTAACAAGCACCTAAACAGTACTATGCTAAGTGTCCACAAGTAATGCTGAAGTAACTGGTATCCGAGACTCTAATATAGCAGGAGAATGGGTGGGGAGTGCTTGGTGGGGAGGAGTGATGGTGATGGAATTAAGGAGCAACTTTGGGAAGAAGACAGCATTAGCAACGGATGGTACTGAATGATGGGTAGTAGGAAAAGCAGGGACTGGAGCCAAATGCTCCTGAGCCCCCTGAAGACAGCAACCACCTCACCTACCTTTGGATGCTGGGTGCCTACTTCAGTGCATTCTTCAGTGCATTTCCGGTAGGCACGCACTAAGTGTCTGGGAACTGAAGAGTAGGCAGTTGGGTTCCAGGCAGGGTGTCCGATCAAGCCTGCGGATCAGCTTGCTCCATCTCATCCGCCTGAATGACTAGGGCCAGTCCAGGATAGGCACTGTCACAGTGTGGTCTGAGAATTCCTGCCTCAGAATTAAATGTTAAAATGCCGACCGTTGGGCCCCATTTGGGACTTCCTGAATAAAAATCCTGAGTGAGGGACCCAGAAACTGGAATTTTAAGCAAGTATCCCAGTAAGTTTCCTATATACCAAAGTTTCAAGGGACACAACTATTTTGGGTGGTTACTGTGGGCCAGATTAGGCTTTTACACTTAACAATTTAATATTTATAATAATCTAAGGAGGTAGTAGGATTTAATAACTATCTGTGTTTGAGGAAACAAGCTCAGGGACAGTAAATAAATTGTCTAACATTGCATAGCAAGTAACTAGTGGAGATCCAAATTCCTGAGTTTAATTCCTGAGACCACACACTCTCCCATGTCTCAGGCACCTTAGGGAAACACAGAAAAAGCTAACCAAACCATTGGGTAGAGCTGGTCTTCAGGAAGTGTACAAGGTCAGTTTCTGATGGTTGAATCTGCCCAAATGAATGTCTAGAAATCAAGATTTGGGGTTTTAAGGTATCTTACGTACCCTACTGCGTACGTAAGACATTTATGACTTTAACAATCCTTATAATGAGACTGAGCACTGGGTGCAGTGGTTTGTCTGGACCAACACTAGAAACATGTGCGGGGCATACAAGTGCCTTCACACAGTGAAGGGAGGGGTGAGTGGGGAGGACAGCAGAAGAGGTGGGACTGTCATTCCCTCCCCCCCCCACCTAACAACTGCTGGCTCCAGCCAACAGTCCCACCCACGGTGACCAGGTCTTCTCATATTTCAAAGAGAAGCCAAAAGTCCAGCTTTCCACATGAAACATCATGATTTTAAAATATCCATCACTAAATCAAAAAGTTTAAAACACGCCCTGCAAGTCAAACAAACAGGTCTGGAAGACAAGTTCAGGCCCATAGAGATCCGGCATCCAACCTCTGATCTATCCGGAATACACAAATTCCAGGGCGTTAAGCTACATAAAGTAACTAGTGGAAATGGATTCCTTAGAGTCTGCATCCTGCTTACATAAAGTATATCCCTATCACTACTTCTGGTTTCATCAAACATGCATCACCTCATCTTTTGATTTCATACAGGTTTATCAGGTGTGCCCTGAAGGGCAAATTTTTGTAAATTTTGTGACTTTCTATTAACTTACCATTGTAAAGATGCCTTATTCTGGTTTTGGAGGGATCTTCAATGGGCGCTGGCCAATTTTAAATTTATGATTCCCTGGCCTTTCAGCTTATTGTAAAGAAAATAGAGCAAACTCTGGGAAAAAACTTTCAGTTTTCGTGAGCGCGGTACTGCGTCTGCTTTACAGTAATTGTGTTTAGAGCTTTTCCGAGGTGGAAATTCCCCCTACCACGGCGATAAAGCTGCTCTGCTTCAGAGCGATTATCCATGTGTGTCTCTCTCACACACAAAGACTGGATGTCGGGTGATTTCCCACATATGATACGACGATAAACACTATAAGTCAGTAAGTTTAAACAAGTAATTGTGTTTCATCACTGCTATTATTTAGTGATTTTATCATGTCACTTTATGCAGAATGGCTTTGGACTAACCAACGAGGTTTTGTTGTTTTTTAACATTTCCACAATCTAAATAATGCTCCACTCTTCCAGTACTGGCGTGGCTTTAGGGAGTATTTTCTTATCTGTTTTATGGCAGGGTTAGATCTGTGCCTTTATTTTTGCCACGCGTGTGCACGTATTACATGCCATCAAGTGAGGCAACGCCAGCCGACCACAGCAGAAATCCTCATCACAGCAAATCACCGCCACGCCACCAGGTTCCCGACGTTAAACACGGTATAGACGCGAGCACCCGCGTGAAGGCATGAAAAGGCACTTACAAGGATGACCCGCCAAGATTCCTACTTTCAAGACACAACAAAAAGCCTCCAGGAAGTGAAGCCAGCAAGTCCTAATCTCATTTATTTTCACGGCTGTTTTTTTTTAAATTGTAGTTTTCCACAGTAAAACCAAAGAGCATCAAAGGACTCTGGTGGATTTTTGAGAAGAAAAGCCTCCTCGCTCCCGGAAGCCAGATGAGGCGAGTTCCCGGAGCCGCGCGGCCGCCGGTCTCGGGGAAGCGGCCCCGGGCGCGGAGCTTCCCGAGCGCGCCGGCCCGGCCCCGCCGCCGCTGTCACCCGCCCCGCGGCTCGGAGCCGCCACCGCACCGCGGCTGGCGGGGCGGCAGTCTGTAGTTATTTATTTAGCAGCTTCAGGAACGCTCCGCGGCGCTCGCGCAACCCGAAGACGCCTTCCCAGTCGCTGGGCGCTTCGCACTCGCCTGCCCATCCCCGGCTTTAGAGAAACTAGAGAACTTGCTCAGCGCGCAGCCCCTCCCGGCCGCTCGGGCTTTTACTCCCGCCTTCCCCTCCCCTCTTCTCTTCCTCCTCCCTTGCCCTCCTCCCCTTCCCTCCTCCCCCTTCTCCTCCCTCCCCATCCCCCACTGCGTCTCCACCCCTTCCGCCCCTCCTCTCTCCATCTCCCGTCCTTCCCCACCTCCTCACCCCTCCCTCCCGCCCTCTCCCCCATCCTCCACCCCCCCCAGGGCTGCGGGCGGCTCCCTGGTCCCGGCGTATACAGATTTGGGCAGAATGTGCTTCCAAGGCTGTAGGTCATGAATTCTGAGGAGAAAAGTTTGCGGGCCGCGCCGCGGGCGCTCCGCGTTCCCCGCCCCGCGGGGCGGTCCTCGGGCGGGGGCCGCGCCGCCCACGGCCGCGGTCTGGGAGCCCGGAAAGCCCGCTTACATAAGGGCCTGCGGCGCCTGCCTCGGGCCCGCGCCTGTCGGCGCTCCTCTGTCAGTTTAGCCGTGATTCTGCTCCTGAGGTTTAGCGGGCACAGATAAAATGGGCAGCAATACGTTTACATTTAGACAGGAAAACGGGAGAGCGAAAAGGGACTGGGAGGGAGGGAGGCCGCAGAACCGGAGAGCAGGTTCGTGCTGGTGGGCAGGTGGATGGAAGCTTCCTTTGGAGCAAGTTCATATTTGGATTCCCGTGTAGGGGGAGTGGGTGGGTGTAAAGCCTAGATAACAGCGAGGCGGCCTGGAAAACAGAGGCCGGGCAAGCAAACTGGGTGGTACTTCTGTTGCCAGAAATGGTGGCCACTTTCCTGATCCTTAGTAGATAGATCCAGGGCACATGTGCGGGGGTGAGTATAGCCCTGTTCAGAGAGCATAACACCTGCTTTCCCAGGGGCAGGCTGGGCATACAGTAGGCGCACAGTAAATAGCAGCTAACGTGTGCTAGCTAATAAGAACTCTGCCAGCGTTGTTGCATTTAATCCTCATGATAATTGAGTCAGAGTTATTCCCATTTTACACACGAGGACACCGAGGCATGGCTAGGCTAAGTGACCACAATCACAGCTCTTTTGGCTGAGGACTAAAAGCTGGGACCCCAAAATTCATGCTATGATATGACTTAGTATTTGGTAAGCAGAATACAAAATGGTTCAGCTTTAGCACAGAGTGAACCGCACCCTGTTTGGAGGACAGGCAAGTTGATTTGTAGTATAAGTAAGCAACGTGCTCAGAGTTCTCCCAGACCTGTATTTCACAATTGACATAATCAGCACATCTTCCCCCTCAGGATGTTACTGAGGCCTTTCATTAGCAGGAGTTTTGTAATTCTGAGACCCTCTCCAGAGTGGGTACTTTCAGAGCTATTGTCTTTGGTTAGCCCAAGTCTCCTGGTGGCTCATTAGAGAAATTGACTGTGCCCTAGGCTGCTATCCCTGTGCAGTTACTAGGACTGTCCAATAGGATTTAAAAAAAATCTCCCAAACTCCCGTTCTTCTACAAAAGAAATGTATAATAGTGCGGGTGTGGGGGGTTGAGGGTTTACAGCAAGGCAAGTGAAGCTGTGATTCCTGGTCCCTATGATATTTGCAAGGCATTTACTGGGTAGAATAAGGATATAGTGCCAGGAGGTAACGGTAATGGGACATTCTCCGTTTGATGAATGTGTGTCCCTTTTCTGATTCTCCCCAGCAAACAGAAAACACACCTGGTACTGTTAGGGCCCTATGGGAGTTTCTTTACAGAAGGTTTCAAGATCCCTTTTCGGATGTTTTTTTGCTTCTGTTGATATTTTTACTACTGCTTAACATCTACACACTCACAAGCCACCAGAATACACCCTAATCCTCCCCCCAAAATGAGATAAAGATTTGACAAGCCCAGCCCACTAAGATAAGAAAGTTAGTGGGAAGCCTGCTTCTCAAATCTTATGTCCACACATGTTCTAACAGGGTGCAGAAGAAATTGGTATTCAATAAGCCATGTGGGGCCAGACCGAGGCAGAAGGATTGCTCAAGGTCAGGAGTTCAAAACCAGCCTGAGCAAGAGTGAGACCCCCCCCATCTCTACTAAAAATAGAAAGAAATTAATTGGCCAACTAATATATATATATAGAAAAAATTAGCCGGGCATGGTGGCACATGCCTGTAGTCCCAACTACTCGGGAGGCTGAGGCAGAAGGATTGCTTGAGCCCAGGAGTTTGAGGTTGCTGTGAGCAAGGCTGACCCCATGGCACTCTAGCTGAGGCAACAGAGTGAGACTGTCTCAAAAAAAAAAAAAAAAGCCATGTGGTGGTATAATACCTCAGGGTGCTGACAGTTCATTTATTTCTAAACCTACTACAGCTGCCATATTGACAAATAAACCCCTCATAGGAGCCTAGGAAGCTCTCCTCCTGGTTCTCCCTTCTCCATTATTTTAGATTAAGAACTGGAGCCACTAAAGGGGGGCTTGCTTTGCAATCTGACACCCAAGAGCTTGTTTGGGGGAGTGGGTGGGTGGGTTTGTAGGCCTGTGGCTCCTTAAGCTGACAACCAAGTGAGGAAGGAAGCTGGCTCCACTCGCCAACTCCTACAACAGAAGAGGCCCCTGGGGCCACAGGGAAGAAGCTTCCGTTGATATTTTTACGGTTGATATTGTTCCAGGCAGCTGCTCTACAACAGAATTGGGCCATTTTCTCCAGTGTGGTCAACTCTCCCTAGTCTTTTTGTCATGACTGCCTGGACAGTAGAAGCTGGGGCCAAGGTTGGCTCAGAGGAATTCTTCCTCTTACTGGGGCCTGATGTCCGGCTTCCCTTGTATTGGGGAGGGGTCCTGGAGAGTGGCCAGAGACTCTCTTCCTACTGGGCATCCTGAAAATGGAGCAAAGTTTAGTGCAATGCCTGGAGCTGCTGACCCTCCTGCCTAAGTGCAACTGGCTTAGAGATGGTTCCCCACCTTGGAGCTCTTGGCTACTCATGGGCTACCCTGCACACACTACTTACTGCCCAGGCCTGTCTGCGCCACCATGCTCTATGCCCTAGACTTGTCCAAATGTGCCTCTGCCGGATCCCATGCCCAGTATCATTCCTAGAGAATCCAGAGGTAAGTCCAGGCTAATAAGCTCTGGAGAAGCAATGGGCAATGTAGGTGTTTGCCTTTTGACCGAGACTACAAACAAAGCTTGGATCCCAGGTCCAGCTCTGGGGCCAGAGAAGCTTTGGGCTTGGCTGTGGCAGAACAGTGAGGGAGGTACTTTGGGTTTTCAATACTTCTTAAATCATCAGAGAGAGCGAGCACCACTCACTTTCGCATGCAGAAGCTGCCGCTGGCTCTGTCACAAGAAGATGAACTACAAGTAATAAAATCAAGATGAAGTTCTGTGTAAATCTTTCCAGCTCACAAAGATTGTAGAAAGTTGAAGATGAAAGGGATATTAAAGACGATCTCATTCTACCTCCTCATTTTGCAGCTGTAAAAACCGAGGCCCTGGGAGGGGTACTGAGGAACCTACCATCACACAGCTGCTTCATGGCAGGAGCTGTGCCAACTTTCCGTGGCTGTGGCCATTACGCCCAGCATCTTTTGAAAACAGTGAAGGAGAAATCAGTCCTCCCAGCATCTTCACCTCCCACGACGTTTGTTGTTTCCAGCTGCTAAAAATTGGCACTTTAAAAAGTGGGTCGCCCTGCCAGTCATTGAGGGTCACCACTGTGGGGAGTGCTGATTTAGAGGGCTGGAGGACAGGCAGGTGATTGGAAGCATAATTGCCAGTCTACCCCCTGGCACCTGGGGATTTCTGTCATTCAAGTCCCTGGGTGTGTGCCCTCAGTAAATACTAACCCACAGAGTCAATTGCCAACTGCAGTCATCTGTGCATTTGCCCTCCGGGGATGGAAAGCTGGAAGAAATGCCATTTCCTAATCTAGTTGGCCTTGTCTGTAAAGATGTTTTTGCCGGGTGGAAGCCTTCAGAGAGTCAATAATGTGTATTTAGGGCCTACATTGCTCTCCAGGATCCTGTGAGCGACCTGGTTGTAAGGAAAACCTCACAGATGGTTCTGGCTTTGTGTTTGTCTTAGTTAAGACCTTTTGGTTGTAAGTAATTAAGTTGAGCTGGCTTAAGCATTAAGGAAAATATGAGGATGAAGTGCTATATTGTGAAGTCCAAGTGCAGATGGTCTCAGGGTAGCCCGGGAAGCTGCTAGGAACCCAGGCAGTGTATCTTCTCTAGCTTTCTCCCCTGCATCATGTCCCTCTCTGCAATCAGCTTTCCTTTCTTTTTCTCTTTGGGGTATCTGGGTGGAAGACCGTCCCTCAACCACTACCAAGTTTACATCTCATCTAGTGAGACATTTGCCAAAGGAGACTGGCCGTCCTTAGTCCAATAGCAAATTCCCAGGAGAGAGAATTTGATTGGCCCAGCGTTGGTCAGGTGCACAGGCTGACCCCATCAAGTGTGTCCAGGATAGGGTGCCCTGAGACAGGCTTAGCTGGGGACACTCATCCTCATGGATGACCGAAGGGCATTTCTCCAAGAAGAATAAAGTGCAGTGAGCAAACATTCATAAGCGCCAAATTAGTTATTGATATAGAAAAAGTGGCAATGCCCAAGTAGGAGTCTTGAGAAACAATCCAGACACCAGAGAGATTTCCATTATTTGCCTAACTTCCTGAGAGATAAAGGATCTATCACGGAGCTGTATCTTTTTCTACAGCAGTTTTCTTGCAATTTAACCCCTATCCTATGAATGGAAGGCCCATTCAGACAATCTGAGGAGTGTCTTTATCTTTTATGTGACTAGCATACATATTTTCATCCTGTTGAGGTGTGTTACGTAGATACTGAAAATGAGATAAAAGTGTAATTTTAAACTTGCATGTGTTGAGATATATGTATAAGCATATATGCACACTCAACTATATTTTAGACACCAAACCCGCTTCCAAAAAGAATTTGAAGCAACATTTAATAAAAACATGGGACAAGTATAACCAACGGCTATTAACACCAAAAAAGAAGTAAAAGACAAG